TTGGATTCACCACGAACCTTCCAATCCGGAGTAGAAACTCGAGAACAAGACCTCAAAGTGGTATGGGACTCCCTCGATGCGAAATACGAGACAAATAGGGCCAGGCAATTGGGCTGCGCCACCAGTCTCTTCCAGAACCTGAAAGCATTCGGACCTCAAGAATATGACTAGATATTCTCTACGGGAACGCTAGCAACAGCGAGAGCTGTTGGCCTGCTGAAAAATATAGGCTACAATGAGCCGATAAGTGTGCCATTTTGTCCTGACGAATCATAATCAATTGGCAATTTGTCGCCAAAGATGACAAGGATCCATGGCCCATTGCCCGGGAAATAGCTATATTCCCCTTACCATTGGCACCCGCTTTCGTGGTCTCAATTGTAAGTCTGCTTCATGGTGGCCAACAGACTCTTCTCGTTGCCAACTTGAGCCTCGTCAAGTTCAGGGATTCTGCCTTCACGCTCAGCCCGGTCCATTGCATCTGGGTCATCAACATTGACCCCGGCTACTTCAGCGGCCACTTGTCGAATGGGACCTTTGAACCATTTTCTAGCCCACAAAAACCAACTGGCAAGACACCATACCGCAATAATGCCGACGGCCACAGGGGTGTAGTTTAGCGTCTGTGAATTGACCGGGTTCAGCTCAGGCAGACAGAAGATGATGGTAATGAAACCGATCCACAGGCATGCGACCAGCGCCACAGGACGTGAAGCCCATTTCAGATTGAAAGGGCCGTGAATAAAGCCCTGTGGGTTTACCATGCCGATCAAGATAGGAAGCCCATAGGATAGATAGAGGCCAATTGTTGCGATCGAAGTTGCCGCAGCAAATGCAACAGAGGATCCGAGACTGGGTACTGCCAGAAGGAAAGCCAGTGCTGCAGCAAGCCAGATAGTTCGAATTGGACTTCGAAATCGCGCGTCCACGTTATGGAAGAAGTGCGGGATTCCACCATCGCGAGCAAAGCTGAACATCATCCGCGAGTTGGAGGTCAAGCTGAACAGACCACAGTGCCAGACGCAGATAATGACCAGGACGAATAGCACAATAGCTCCCGATTTGCCGAACACATCGACCAGGATTTGAAGAACCGGGTTACCGTACTCTGAGCTCAGGGTGGCCTGGAAATCCTGGACACTGAACAGAAGGCAAAGGATGAGAAACCATCCAAAGACAGCAGAGCATCCAATCGACATGAGAACACCAATGGGCGCCGACCACGATGCATTCTGGGTTTCCTCAGACAGATGTGCACTAGACCCAAGGTCAGTATGTGAGAATTCTTCCTTTCTTCAGTGAGGCACACCTAGCGTCAAACCCGGTAATTGTATATTGTGACATCAGAATACCAATGCAGGCGACATAGGCTGGGGATGCCCTAACTGACCATCCCGGATCACCAGTGCCGTCGTAGAACGTTGCAAACACAAATTTGGCGGACTGATGATGAGGAGCTTTAGCGACAACCGCGACGGCAAAACTGAAGACGCCCAAAGAGTGTAGAATTATGGAGGTGTTGTTCAAGTAACGCAAAATGTGCACACCAAACGAGTTGACAATGCCATGCGAGCACAAAAGCGCCGCATAGATACCCAATGTTCGGCCTGCCGTTGCTTCGTACCCATTGATACTGGCCAATGTGGAAATAAGTCCTGCACAGCCAAAGGTGATACCGGTGGTGACCGCGACTTGACCAAGCAAATTGAACCACCCTGTAACCCAGCTCGCAAACGGGGCCCATGGCTTCGGTGCCAGGATGGCAGCCCAGAAGTAAGGCCCGCCAGCGTTTGGTATCGCAGATACCACCTCGGCCATTCCCAAGCCGACAAACATCGTGAAGAACGAGACAACGAGCCAGCCACAGGACATGACCCCGGGCCCGCCGGTATTCAGTCCATAGCTGAACAGGGTCGTGATACCGGTGATGACGGAAATGATGGAGAAAGAGACGCCGAAATTGTGGATCAATGACCAGTCGCGCTTCAGTTCTTGCTTATAGCCCAGTTCGCGTAGACGACCTTCATCCTTGGACATGCTGCGAGCAGCAGTGCCGCCATACTCGCTGTCCGCCATGTGGATGCTGGTGGTGATGACGTGACAATCTTGGAGATTGTGGGGGCGGGGCCTTTAACAAAAACGAGCATGTGCTTGCACACTGCTGAAACAGTACAAATAAAGGGCTCACGATGACAAGCTCCGTCGGCAGGTCGTACAGGACCAGACTCCAGTAAGTGGCAGGCGCCATCGTCTTTATAACCCACAGATCAAACGATAGCTGGCAGCACCAGCAGCTAGGGTTGCAGACGATCATAGTCGGTCCTTGGCCTGCTGATAACAATCCATCCAGCCAGAGTCCACAGTCGAAGATAAAGAGTCGAGACCCCTGTCAAGCCCCGGACAAGCGTTCCCTCTTGAGGGATGAGCACGCGAGATGCTCCATCGAACACTCTCTCGTCATCTAACTTTATCACGAGAAGATATGCACTTCCCGACTTCTGGATATCCAGGCCTTGACCTGCATGCCCAACCACGTGTGCTTTTGTCCATCTTGTGCTGTGGCGGTTAACAATAATCGAGCACGAGATCATGAGATGGGCTCCGGTAGCGGCGATTTGGTCGAAAATAGGTTAGACGCTCCTCCCTTCGTTGCGTGCATGGGCGGGTCTGTGCTCCTACCGTGTAGTGTCCCCAGTCGATGGCAGTCGATGGGGGCAATCGACACCTGGGTAGAGCCGATCATGTAATGGATCTGCTTGTCCTAGCCCGTCACCACCAAAAGCTCACAGAGATGCCTACGGAACAGCTTCGCACGTAATGCCACCATCCAATAGGTATATAGAGCGCTTGGCCAGCCTCAAGGACACACTCAACGTACGGCACTTGATTAATCCCGGGGTAAACCTCGTCCCAGTCCTCGAGCGGGGATGTTTCCATGGCGGCAATATCAACTTGCGAAGTGTTTGACATGTCAATTGTTTCACAGCGCTGCTCCCCATCATTTACGTCACCATTCGTACATTCTGCGTTTCCAGCAGAGGATACATGAGGAGCAGGCTCGTCTTCACGTCTGGGCAGCAACTTCTTGCTGTGCTGTGGCGAATAGAGTCTTATGTACTTTTTGCCCACGACCTGGCAGAGAATATTGTGGTACGGGTCATGATGCAGAGGAGAAATCGTCCATGCCGGGCCAAACCAGATATTGGTCTGGGGATCGTCTCCAAGTCCCGTCTCGTCAGCGGCAGCGTCGTCGGGCGGGTCGCGGGTTTCGGGAGGAATAGTGTTGGGATGGCTTGTTTTCTTCATACTCTCCCTTGCCTTGCTCAAGGCCACCGGCGTATCAGGTTCAGCAGGCGGAGCGTCCAGATAGCAATAATCCGGGGTAGCAATATCCTTTCGAAGAGCGGGGATCTGTTTAAAAAGGTCGTGTTGCGCTAAATAGCCTGTCTGGTCATTTTCGCCAGTGACAGCGCTAGATCCGCGATCCGTCGACTGCAGTATGTAAAGACTGAAAAAGTCTTGGAAGGGGACAATCTTTTGGCTCCAGTCATCGTCAACGTAGCTCCGCCCAACTTCAACCGGGACGAGACGACGGCCGCCAATGGTGGCATCAAGCCAAAACGACGTTCGCCGCCATTTCTCGAGAGCTGGCCAATGATTCATAATGTTTGTCAAGACCACAGGCTGCCGTATTTGCTGGATGTGGTGGGAGAACTTGGTAAGAGGAGGCTGGTCCATTTGCAGGATGGGGAATAGAATGGTTGGTATAGAGACGTTGTCAGCGGGCAGGTGACTGTCGGGAACATGATTAGACCCAGGCTCATGGTCGACTCTCCTTTTCTTCCGTGGGTGTTCCTTTTCTTCCTCTTCACTTACACTGACAGCTTGTAATCTGGCCAAAATATCGTGAATCATCTGTTCTCGTCGTAGGCCTCCGGCCATGATTAGTGCCATATCTAGGATGGACACAATCTTATCCAAATGAATCTTCAGAGATTCAGATAGCGACGAATCTTGTAGACTGGGAGAGGTGAGGCCAAGCAATTCCAGCACTTTGGCAATACTGGTGTCAGTGTAAAGGCGGAACCAACACGGCTGGACATCTTTGAAGGGAAATGTATGGAGCTTTTTGTCCGCCAGGTTGAATAGGTTGTCAGCCTGGTCCAGGACGCTTTTGCCCATGCCATTTGGGAAACACTTGTGAATAGGGTCGTCTGGGTCACATTTCTGCAGCTGAAGTGTTATGGAACACCAAAAGGTGCCGTCAACGAACTCCACCATGAGGGCTGAAGGAGTCGCGGGCGGCAAAAGGAAATCAATGGATACGAGAGGAGGATGGGCGCTGATGAGGGCGAAGAGGAGGGAGGGTGAGAGGAATGCTGCAAGAAAATGAGGCGATTGGCTAGTGGACGTGGCAGGTGATGGCCATCGGCTGCTGCCAGTGGGAGGATGGAGATGGTCTTGGTGGTGAGTGGGCGCAGCCATGAAGCCGTCAATCGTCAGTGATGACCCTTGCCGCCCTTGAGCCATGGCTGCGGTTTGGGTGCCAGGTGGGCAAAGGGACCAAGGGACCAAGGGAGCGCTTTGAGGGCGGGCTTGGCGCTGGCAGCATCTCGAAGTGAGGCACAGCTCACACCTGTAGGTTGCAACAAGACACAACTTTCCCCCCTTCTGTCCTCTGCGCCCTCCACTTTCCACCTTCTTCACGTCCACATACTGCTTGGTGCATGTCTATCACTTTTGTGGTCCCTCTATCCTTCTCGCTTCACATCTCGTCCTTGTAGTTATCCAGCTACCGTTCCTTCCCTTCCGTCCTGTCACTCCTGCCCGCTTGTTGGATCCCTTGTCCCTGCAAGGCTCTATCACCTCCGCCTCATTTCTGCGCCCCAGGCTGCTGTCTTGCCTGCGAACTTGGTCTGTCCCACGGCTCTTGACCACTGAATCACAGTCGAGATCTCCCTGGATCGTCGTCCGGACTTCTTTGCAGGCCGCAATCCGCCATGGCCGATGTTTCGTCTACCCGGCTCTATCTGGGCAACCTTCCGCGCAACAGTATGCTCCTATCCGTTCTCCCTCCCTTGGTCTCCCTGGACAAGTTGCACGCTTGGAGGATAGCTGAGCCCTGAATATTGACTCCTGGACCCGCTTACCACCTGTTCCGGGACTTCGCCAGTCGCTGACTCTCAGTTTCTTCGTTTCAGTCACCAAACAGGATATAGAGGACCACTTTGGCAACCATGGCACCGGCTCTATCAAAGAAATCAAGCTCATGAACGGCTTCGGTTTCATCGAATACGAGGACGCCATGGATGCGCGAGATGTTGTTCCAGGCAAGTCATTTTGATCATTTGACTGGTTCTAATGCGCTAACTTTTCCCTCAGCCTTCCGTACGACATAGCTCTTCCCCTCTTCCCTCTTCTCGCGGTGGCTTTTCCTGACATCCACAACAGACGGAACCATTTTCAAGGGCGAGCGACTTACTGTGCAGTTTGCTCGAGGCCCGCGCCGGAAGGACGACTTCGCTGGCCCCTCTGACCGAAACGTCCCTCGGCCGCGTCGCACTATCTATCGCATGCAGATTACCGGACTGCAACCGGATACTAGTTGGCAGGTTAGGATTCCCATTTTTCTAGATATTCGCACAACCCGTTTGGATCAGATACTGCCGAAGAGATGCCTATCAACCTCGATCTCGGTGCCTCTCTCCTTTGATGTGGCAGAGATTGCACAAAGTATGCCCATATTTGAAGAACTGGACTTTGGAGCTTGTCCGGCTATATTTTGGCTAGTCGTCCAGACCTCATTCTGCTTTGGTTCTCATCGCATCCTACCTGCGAATTCGACCTTCCCTTAACTGAGCGAAACGTGCTCACCAGCTTCCAGGATCTCAAGGACTTTGCGCGAAGCTCAGGTCAACTGGATGTCGTGTACTCCGAGACTGGTCGTGACCGCGACGGTAAAGGGTAACTCTGACGTCCCTTCTATCCCTGCATCTGCTCACCGCTGGTCAAAGATTTGTAGAATTCGAAACCTCGTCCGACCTCAAGACCGCTGTGGAAAAACTAGATGGACAAACCTTTAAGGGAGCTACTGTCCACTGTACACCCGATGTAAGTACTTACTTAATACCTGTTACAATCTTTCCTAACCGGCCGACCCAGATTCAAGAGGAAAGACCGGACAATCGCAGCTATCGACAGAGATCTCCACCCAGAAGTGGCGGCCGATACGGTCCTGTTGATGATTACGATCGTCGCGGACCTCCTCCACGTGGCTGGAGCCCACGAGGCTACCGTGAGCGCTCGCCTGGACGTCGCCCACCTATGGATGACTACTACGATCGAGGCTATGGAAGACGCACTCCACCCAGGGACTACGGACCACCACCACCGAGGAGATACGACCCTGACCCGTATGATCCTCGTGGACCGCCACCACCCCCCATTCGAGGCTATGATCCATACGCTCGAGGTGGCGACCCGTATGGCCGACCCAGAAGCCCTCCTCGCTATGGCTATTCGGGTAGCTATGGTAGCTACGACGACCGACGATACTAGAGGGATTCGGAAGGTCTCCGTCAACTAACTACTCAAATGCAGGAAAACTCAGAACCAACTAGTCGGATTCCCTGATTCGAGAACCGGATAACGAGGCCATGACTGAGCAGGAACCATGAGAAAGTTTGTTAAGCCAAAGGTGGTCGATTGGACTTGCTCGGCAAATCCTGAGGATTACTGCCCGAATATCGTCGCAACAATATTGTCTCGGTGTTTTCAATTGCAACTTCAGAGCTTGCACTATGGAAAGGATCTTAAAGCCGGATTGATTCAACTTCTCTGCGTGGACTTCTTCTGTAATTGGCAGGACATCCCTTACTGTTTCGGGCCCTTATGACAGAGCTACGACATACAAAAGCATTTTGATACCCGAGAGAACTTCAAACACAAAGGTCATAGTCCGGACATCTTCTGCGTGGCTTTTATCGGACCAAATGCAACTCTCAACCTTGACTCCCGCAGTACTGGTTTGGAGCCGGCCGTCAAAGACTAACGTGCTCCCTGGCTAATAATTGAACCCGTCAACCTCTTTTCTGTACGTCTGTCAGCCTCGGCGGGTGAAGTTGCCTGCTCCGTCTGGCTCTGAAGACCTGTGGTTGAGAAGATCCAAGCCTTCCGGCCCATTCAGGATGCCTGCTGTTAGTATCCGTTTCGGCTCGGGGCACGCTCCTTGGTCCATTGTAAAATTGCTTCGAATCGTCTCTCAGATTCCAAGACTCAAGAGATCACAAGCAGGGACTAGGTAAGTCGACACTAGCTCTCGCTGCCGGCAGCAACAGCCAACTTATCTGTGCGCCAATGTGAATAACTTCGTAGTGCTAAGGGCATCAAATACACGCTGGAAAGCTTTTTCATTGTCCAAGGCGGCGAACCAGTCCGTGACGCATGTACCCGGATTGTCCCCTGTTCCGGCGGCAGCAAACTTGTTGTAGATAGTGGAACTCGCCGTTGTAATCAGACGGCTTGCAACTGTTCCGGTCCATACGAGCAACATCACTTGCATGTTCAAGAAGACGGCTGCTGTTGCTCCCACCGCTGTCATTGCTGCGACTTGGACAAGCAATGCAAGATGGGCTTTTCAGAATTCAAAGTAATAATATAGACAACAGAACCGTCTCCGTCTCCAAGGATAATTTTCACGGAGACCCAGGATATTTTTTCTATTGGTTTTCCATTTTTTCTTCCTCTTCCCCAAGGCCCTCGTAGAATCAATCTACTGATATTATCAGAAATCATTCATCATCATCATCATGATAACAATGAACAAAACATATTCACGACCTTCTTCCGAAGAACTTCTTCCTCAGACCCTGGGACTTTGCTGCTTCCTTTGGCCTGGCTGGTTGTTCTTCTGGGACGCTTTCTTTCTGTTTGCCCTTGCTGATGGTGCTGGTGGGCTCCGAAGCTGCCGGGGCTGTTGTTGGACGTGGTGTCGCTGGTCCTGTTGTTGATGAAGGGGGCGTGGGTCTGACGGGCAGAGCCGTAAGGCCTGGTGAGCCTGAGCCTCCTTCTTGATGTGGCTGTGATTGCTGCCGTTGGTGTTGTTGTTGGGCAGTGACATGTTGTGCTTGGGCGAGCATGGGCGCTACAGGCGGGGTAGAGATCGGATAGTGACCCGTCATGGTGGACATAGGAATTGGAAGGGAGTCGCTGGGCGTGGGGCGATGACCTCTCATCGAAGCACCAGCTCCAGGAGGCGAAGTAGGAGAAGAAACAGCACCGATATCCTGCTTTCCCCTACTTTCATCTTCCTCTGCCACGTCTTCCATATCTTCGTCTTCTCCGTCATCCTCGTCGTCCTCCATGCCATCAAACGACCGTTCTGGATCGCCATTGTAGACGACCCACCACCCGATCTTCTCGCCCTCGGCGATCTTGTCTCTCAGATCTGCCAGCGCCTCCCACGCTTTATTCGTCAACCCGGGGCCATCGGCAATAACCTCGTCCACGTTAATGCTTAGCGCCGTGGTATCCGCGGGTGAGTTGAAGGGTGCGGGTTTGGACATGGGTAGCGTTGTTGCTCGTGGTTTCCTCTGCGAGAATTGCGAAGAGTCCGGCTCTGTGGGAACGTGCTGGTATGATCTTGCCTGCGCTACTCCAGGTCCAGTCAATCCCATACCCGGTCCGGCCGCGATCATCACGACTTTGTCTCCCACAAATGCGTATGGTTGGCTCACTGCGTAGGGCCCGTCTATATCGTCCGGATTATATTGTTCAATGAACTCCAACCTCCTCGCCGAAGCAGGGTTCGTATCAGAGTGGTCTAGCTCTTTCATTATATCGGGATATATTTCGCGAAAGGAGCGGAGGATCTCTTCGCGGGAGTGGGCGTTCTGAATGTACTCGGTGCTGCATTCATCGAGGTTGTGGAGGACGGCGTGTACGCGGATGCCGGTGAAGCCTTCGCGCGGCCAGCGGAAGCCGTGCACTAGGTAGACAGGCATTATTTCTTTTTCTGTGGCAATTGTCACTAGTTCAGGAAAAACAGCCTCTGAACTTCTGGTCGATGTGAAGGCAGGGTAGGTGGTGCCGTTCAAGTGCGTGGAGCACGTCGGTCGTCGAGATCCAAGCTCCTGGGAGGGATTTGTTGCTGTGGGCGAACGATATGCTGCTCAGACATATAACCGTAAATGTGGATATGCCAACATATTGAGTCGTCGTCGATGTACAAGCATGTTCGGTCAGTTGTTTGGGATGCGGAACAGTAAAGCTGTTGCTGTACGGCGCGCCGGGCTCCCCTTCCTCGTCCTCTCTCACCGACACCTCTGTAGCGCTATGGGAGGAAGTAGATCGCCGTCGCACAAGGTTGCCTCTGTGTACAACCCAAGAGCTGTAACAGCCCCCCAAAGCTGTGCTAGTAATGTGGGAGTGTTACGAGAGATTTGGCCGAACAATTGGTAGCGATGGGCTGTGATGGGCTCGGGGCTTCCACCACGTGGTTGTGCCGCACGATGCGGGTTCCATGTTGGATCCCCTCCTTATTTTCAGCCTCGCCATCAGCTGCTAATACAGTAGGTGATGATAAAGAGGGGCGGTACAGAGCATTCTAGAAAATGTCCTGTCACTACTTCTAGCCTGGCTCAGGGATAATCCCCGCGTTACTTTTCTGTCACTCTCACGATTCAATTGAAAGACGTTAAGAGTCTAACCGCTTCACGCACTGCGCATGTCTCTCAATCAAGATTGCGGCTCTTGAGGGCCATTCCAGACCAGAGATTGTGCTCCATTCAAGCGTGATCCAGTCCATCTCCAGCGACCGCAGCAGAAACGATCATGGCTTGAAACAAGCGGCGGAGATATCAAGGCTGTATTGCAGCAGACCCGAATAGCTCTCCCTTTGGCGGATGCGCTTATCCCGCACAGATCCCCAGTCCACAGAAGGTCACCCTTTGGAATCAAGATTCTGTCCACTTCTGTCAGACAAGCGGGTGCTTTCTGTCCAGTAATCGCGAGACTGATTTCATTGGTTCCTTCCATGGTACTTCTTCCAACTCCCCTCGAAGGTTTCTTCATTCACTGCAAACTTTTTGATGTAGTCCTTTTCTAGCTCATGAGCTCTTTTACCGAGAAGCACGAGACAGTGGAGCGGGGCGCCCAGGTCAATGTCACATAGCTCTCCCAGCGTTCCGCAGGCGAATTGTTGGTCATCCGCGCCGACTCTCGCACAGCCGATAGCCAGACTGTCTTTGGCGTAGACATGCTCTTTCTTCTCTTCCTCTATTTCCAGCATTTGCCGGGCACACTGCATGACAGTCATATAGCGTGGAGGCTCATAGATCTTTCTGCCCCTAGCCATGTTTTCGAGTGACTGTTCCTTCACCTTGATATCCAGTAGCATGAGGGTATGCAGGCCAATAGAGGCATTTTCTCGGATGCGGTCGTAGAAGCTTGCCGGCTTCCAGTTTTCGGTAAAGAAGACCATGGAGACGGTCTGGCCAAAGTTGTAGAGTTGTAAGCCGGTCGCACCGATGGCATTGAGAATTGAGGCGTTGGGAATGGACTTGACGGGGATGGAGAGCTCCTGGGCCCGAAGGACCAGATCCGTGTGAGTTGTCGCGCTGCAAAACTGGTCAGGCAAGAGATCAATTGCGGTGGGGTATACCAATCTACCCAAATGGATCGCCGACCACCAGAAAAGCAATGTCAACTTTGTCTGCTCGTTCCAGGATCTCGTCACTGGAGGACTCGACCATTTCACGGTCTGCTACAATTACCGGGCGCTCATAGAATGACTCCTACCTTGACTGTCAGAGAAGAGCCATGTCAGTTAGAAGCTAAATAAAAAGAGGCGTGAAAGGTGTCTGTCTTACCAACTTATCCTTTCCAACATGTAGAATGCTGGTGTAGGTCTCCAAGTAGACTCTTTCTGCACGCTTCACTACTTCCAGTCCCTTGACGGTGATATCTCTCTCATCGGCGAGACCGAGGCCAACAAGGTAAAGCATGTTGAATCTGGTAGAAGTGACGTGAAAGAATGACTTCGAGAGCAGAATAAGTTGAATAGTTTCGGAAGGGATGAGTGTTGTGAGTGACGGCGCGGGCCAACGTCGGATAAATCATCGGTTCGAACAACCTTCAAGTGCTCTCCATAATTACTGGGTACGTCAGAGATGATTCCATCCGTCATCTGTCATTCATGCACAGCCACCTATTCCATCCTGCAAACATCCTAAACCGACCTGCTCAATGAAGAGCAATCATTATTCTTGATCTGTGGATATCGAACAAAGACGTTCAGAGAAGTTTACACCAGACAAACTTCACGGCCCAAGGCCAGGAGTCAGAATGGCGGGTGAGAGGCCTGCAAAGTACCGGCAGGAGATCCAGCAGGTGAGCAACTGTCTTTGCTATGCCATTTTATTCCAGGATACTGCCGGACCGCTGGAGATGTCGACAAACCAACGCTTTGGACACTGGAGAGTTGTGTATCTGGCGGACAGAACGTTGGAAGAATATACGAGTCGAATCCATGCTACGAATCTACCTGGTAAATCCGGCTGAAGACGACTTCCTCCGTGCCATGTGTCACGGCCACCTCAGCTTCTGGCCATCTTTGGGGGGAAACGTGGATCTAGACCGTGGAGTCGGGACGATAGGACAATTCACTCCACATATGTCCATGAAGCACACGCCCGACATATCAGGGTATCTCTTTGGATTCACTCCTGGGCACGGGGATGCCAACTGCACAATGATTGTGCAAAAAAGCCGGTCAACTGCCAGATCTGGATGAACGAACAATCCCAATTGATCCTCTGAGAATCACGTCCCACTCCATCCAAGCAGTCAACACAAGCGACAACACAAGCCTGCAAAAGCTCTCACCCAAGCACGGTCTGAACGCAACCAAATCATGGCGAACCGTGGAGCGGAGAATCTCAAACAAAGCCTTTCGAAAGCTCTCATATTCGGAGATGCCCCAGACAAGGCGGAAGTAATCGAGAGCCACCCTGGCGAGGGCCCTAGCTCAGCAGCTGCATCTTCTTCCAACAAGCTCGGAGATGACGATTCCTTTGAAACTGCAGCAGACTTCAAGCAGAGACTGATACATTGGATTGGACAGATGATGTTCGTGAGTGGTGAAACAGCAGAGCCAAGTGCAGAGACGACTTGGATGATCGAAGAAATCGTAAGAGAGCAGGTTATTGAGATGGTTAGGCATCCTCGGCCAGTTGTCTGCAACGTTTCTAACCTACGACATAGCTGACACAAGCAACTGCGCTTGCGAACCGTCGAGGTTCGAAGACCATCTCAATCGCCGACCTCATCTTCCAGATTCGCCACGACAGGGCCAAAGTCTCCAGACTCAAGACTTTCCTTTCGTGGAAGGATGTCCGCAAGAATGTAAAGGACTCGGACGACAAAGGTGGAGGCGACGCTGCTGAAGTTGGCGATTTCGACGAGGTAGGCGTTTTGTGTTGTTAGTCGCCTTTGCGAGACGTAACTGAACGAGACTCCAGGCCTCCGGAGGTGTCAACCCATCGGCTCCGCAAAAGTCCACCGCAAACAAGAAGGCGAAACTCGTCCTGCCGTGGGAGATCCAATCGTTCTACGCTGAACAAGTGCCTGAAAGAGACGATGAAGAAGATGAAGAGGAAGAGGAGCAGAATGAAGCCACCCTCGCCCGCCTCGCCTCTGCCGACGAACGCACCAAGAACATGACCAAGGATGAATATGTCTACTGGTCCGACTGTCGTCAAGCGAGCTTCACATTCCGCAAGGGCAAGCGATTTCGCGAATGGGCAGGGTTTGGTACGATCATTGACAACAGACCTAATGATGATGCTGTCGATATTCTCGGCTTCTTGACATTCGAGATCGTCCAGACTCTGACAGAGGAAGCGCTGAAGGTCAAAGCCGCTGAGGACCTGGCCAACAACAAATTGAATGGCGGCAGAGGAGACCAGGACGCGTCGAAGAAACGTAAGAGGGAAGGTTGCAGTCTATTTGAGATGCCAGAGGAGGGAAGGACACCGATCGAGCCCAAGCATGTCAGAGAGGCGTTCCGAAGACTCCAGACGGTGCCAAACAAGTACAAGTTCATGAGACAAGGCTTCGCTGGGATGAGGACACCACTGAGGCTGATTTGAAATTCAGGGCGACGGCGTCCATGTGTCATGTTTCCTGCAGGCGCAAAGGGAGTCACCCGTTTAGAGTGCAGGAGCACATCCAGAGACGATATCCTTATTGTATGGACCAGGCATGGCATGACGAAGTTCGAGTACTAGAATAAAGACGTATCAACACCACCAAGAATGCCTTCGAAGTTGTCCCTCCCCCCATGTTCCTATATACTCTACGGAAGTGAGGTATTCATGAGCGACGTCGTGCAATGACATTCGAGTCACTCTATTACATCATAATCGTTATTTATGAAGAAGCGAGCCAACACAGCAAAAAGCCTCAGGCCACATGCGAGAAAGCCACCAGGCCACCGCAGTCGGAGTCATCGCCGCCAGCCCTATCCTCCAATCAATCTAGCATCGTTCGCCAACCTTTCCCTGCATGCCTCATAACCCGTTTGTCTTCTTGCCCACACAATTCATCCGCATTTTTGTGATTGTGAATATCACGGCCTACATCACCACAAAGGCCTACCTAGATTCCCGAGCAATCCCCCGACGACCCCGCATCGACGAGAACTATATCACCACCGACCACTCTTCTACTGCGGGGCAAGTGGAAATGGCACCAAAAGGAAAAGGTGAAAACACCAAGAAGGTCGCAGGGAACGCCCGCAAGGCTGAAGCCGCCGCGCAAAAGCAAGCCGCGGCCGATGCGGCCGCCGCCGCCAGGGAAGAGCAGAAATGGCAACAAGGCGCCAAGGACACGTCTAAGAAACAAGCTGCTGCGGCAAAGGCAGCTGAACAGGCCGCGAAGAAGGCCGAGAGAGAGGCGATGCTAGCGGAAGAAGAGAAAGGAATGCGGGACAAGCCCAAGGGGG